TAACTTCGTCGATGCTTATACGTCGACTTTTTTCAGACGGGCTGATAGCGACGGAAGCCTCGTCGAACCGGCGCTGCAAGTCGACAGCAGACGTCAGTGGCCGGACCGCATAATCTTCAGGCTCTACGGAAAGGCTGTTGACCACTTGTGTCTCCATCTCTATTGYCGTGGCATCGTCGTCGACATCATCSTCGTGRKGMTCTCCGTAMAGTTGTCCRAACTCGTCAGAYGACTCTCCAGATCCGGCATCGTCCTCACTATGTTCCACTTTGTCTTCTCCAGACCCGGCACCCTCCCTTCCTTCAAACAAATCAATTAGCTCCGTTTCTCCCGCTTCCTCCCCTTCCACCTCTTCTTCCCCTTCTTCCTACCCTTCTTRCGCTCCTTTCTGTTCCTCCGTTTCCTCCCCTACTTCCCTCCCACGAAACTCGTCCCCTTCCGCGGTACCTGTGCCGAATCGCGAGGACCGCCCTTCCATCCCCGTGCACGCTGCCCCTCTCAACGACACGACAATCCCTCACCGACAAACCCCGCCCGAAGAAGTTCGGATCTCGGCGGACTTCGTGGTCTCCGTGTCACCGGACCCTGCACTTGCAGCSTCCCGCTGCAATCCTTGCGGCCGTCGCTCCCGTGCAGGCGACACCGTTCCAACGTCTCCATCCCACGCCGCAATGCTGCGAATTTCTCGATCAATGCTTGGATCCCCCGACCCCGAGCAGCTTCGCATTCCGGACCGCTCTSGCGGCTCCTCACCCGGCGTAGTTCGGATCCCGGCGGACTTTGGCTTTCCGGCCGAGCGAATGCCCAGAGCAACCAAGGCTTCCAACGTGTCCCTCGCTGAGCCCACAGACGAAGTCTGGGGGCCGGCGGAGTGTGTCGTGTGCTCGGGCCGGGTGCCTATTGACGGAGTCCGGTCGACGGCGAAACCCGCCACCCCGGCACTGCCTCCCGGTGTCGTGTTGCGGCCGTGAGACCCTCTCTCCCCCATAGGCGGGATTCCTTTGCCACCCCCTGCGTCGCCACCCCCATCCCCTCCGCTTCCAGGTGACCCCTCCCCGGAACCACCGTCCGGCCCACTGGGAGGGGGCACTTTCCAGTCCACCACGCCCTTCGACGGACTCGTGTCGAGCTCGTAGTWGTCCTCCGTCAATTCCAACCAGCACTTGTCCTGAAGCTCGTCAAACAGTCAACCGGCAGTGGAAATGAGGGACAAAACGCAGGGTGCTAAAGTRTCATTTTCGACCTTCACTTTCTGGAGGACCGAAATCCTCGCGAGGTGCARGAAGTTGGACTTCGACTCGCGTGGGAATGACACCCATCCCGCGCCTGGGATTGCCACGACCATGACCTACTCACCWTTTCGTATCGCTGGCTGGATGACTCCCGGATGCCAAACCATGTCATGGCCCCAGTCCTGCTCAGGTGAATGACGTTGCGGTTCAAGCAGGAAGTGAATGTTGTCATCCTTCCAAGACGGATGATCGGGCGGGACAACGGACGCGGGACGCAAAGCGGGCGGGGGGGCGGCCAGAGCACTAAGTCTCTCCAGCAACTTCATCGGCGTGGTGCCCGGCGCCGGTTTGGCCAATGGTGACACGAGGGCTGCAGCGCTTGGTGACGGACCGGTCGACGAGGACCCTCGGCCGTGGTCCGCCGGAGGCGGGTCGTACTGCAGGTCGATGCTCTCCGTGTCGCTCTCCTCCTCCTTC